GATCAAAGGAAGCACAGGTACTCTAGAATATAATCATTGTTGTCAGTTATTACATTCGATCCAAGAAAATTTGTCCTGAATTGAGAATGTGGATTGTCCACCTGTACTTGATAGTACCATCCATCCAAAAGAGACTTGCTTTCAGCTTGCATTAGTATACTGGTTGAAGGTCTTCAAGAATTCAATGTCACAAATTACTTATTTTCATTATTTATATGCAGAGGAAACCACATCCCCTCCTCTGACATTAACTACTGCCAGCCTAGTGATGACTCCACAAGGGCAGGTACTCACATTGAAGAGCCCCCTAATGCCGGGACAGATGGCAGCTGTTCCTTCCACACTCTTGCAAGCTGAGCTAAAGCCTCAAACTGCCAGCAACACTGTGACAGCACAACCAGGTAAGGCCACCTGGGAGCAGGCAGGCTGAAGATAAGAATTGGTGGTAAAGCTGTACCTCTTGCTTCTCTGAGGTTGAATGTGGTTTCCCACCACATTCTCTTAAAAAACCTTGGTGACTGTGGCATTGATGCCTACACAGTCAGATGGGTGGGAAATTGGCTAGATGGTCGCACCCAGAGGGGGGTGGTGGACGGGTCGTTTTCAACCTGGAGAGATGTGGGCAGTGGAGTCCCCCAGGGCTCGGTCCTGGGGCCCGTACTGTTCAACATTTTTATCAGCTATCTGGATGAAGGTGTGAAATGCACACTGTCCAAATTCACTGACGACACCAAGTTGTGGGGCGAGGTGGGCACATTGGAGGGGAGGGACTGAATCCAGCTAGATCTAGACAGGTTACAGAGGTGGGCGGATGAGAATAGTATGGAATTCAATGCAGACAAGCATCTAGGGAGAAGGAACCAGCAACACACCTATAGACTGGGGAACACCCTTCTTGTCAACACGGTGGTAGAAAGGGATCTTGGAGTCATTGTTGACTCCAGGATGTACATGAGCCGCCAATGCGAAGAAGCAGTCAGTAAGGCTAATCACTCCTTGTTGTGCATCTACAGATGCATCGCAAGTGGATCCAGGGAGGTGATCCTTCCCCTCTATGCGGCACTGGTCAGGCCACAGTTGGAGTACTGCATCCAGTTCTGGGCGCTGCACTTCAAGAAGGATGTGGCTAGCATTGAGAGGGTCCAGAGGAGGGGCAGTCACACGGTCAAGGGGCAGCAGGGCAGGCCCTATGAAGAGGCTAAAAGGCCTGAACTTATTCAGCCTCCACAAGAGAAGGCTGAGAGGAGATCTGGTGGCCATTTACAAACTCATCGGGGGGAACCAGTGGGAATTGGGGGAGGCTCTGTTCCCCCAGTGACCACTGGAGGTTACTAGGAATAATGGCCACAAATTGTTAGAGAGAAGTTTCAGGCTGGACGTCAGGAGACATTACTTTACAGTTTCAGGTGCCAGGCTCTGAAATGGGGTCCCAAGTGAGGTGGCGCTCTCTCCTATCTTGGGGGTCTTCAGGAGGAGGTTGGACAGATATTTGGCTGGGTTGATATGATCCAGGCACGCATTCCTGCCCAGGGCAGGAGGTCAGACTTGATGATCTGTTTAGGTCCCTTCTGAACCTAAGTACTATGATACTATGATCTGTACGTTTTGGCTTCTAAAATAACACTTGTCCTCAGCAGTAGGATCCTTATATTCATTTGCCTGTTTATAATTGGTGAGTGGGATTGGATCTGACTGCAGTATGTATAATCTGATACAAATGACAAAAACACCTGAGGACGTAACCAAAATATTAAGCAATGAAATATAAACCATTTGTCATCAGGAAAGTAGAATCTGTTTGATTATTCCAAATAAGAGAGGCAAAAAAATCTGTGAAACTGAGTGTAAACGGGAGAATATAGGGATGATCCTATTAAGAAATAGGTTATCCTATTGTTAATATTTCTACTGTTTTCAAATGATGCCTTAACTTAAGGGAAGGGTGGCCACAAGTATCATGGGCAGCCTTTGTGTGGCACATGACAGATCAGGGAGGAAGCAGGAGATAAAGCGGAGCAAAAGGTTGGGCAAGAAGCAAATCAGGCAGAGGAGGGAGGATCAGTATGTCACTTGGGGGGGGGGGCGGTACTATTTTGTGGCATGCCTACCAAAAAAGATTGGCCCCCCACTGCCTTAGGAACTGTAATGTTTTACTTTCCATTCGTGTGCCAGCATTAAAAAAAGATTGTTTTTCTTCCTGGGTAAGGTATTACTTCTGTGATGATTCAGCTACCTGGCTCACCAGTTCCTGTTCAAGTAAAAGGAATCTTCACTAACTCCACCATTCCCATTGCTCTGTCAGCTGTTGCTGGAAACCCAGTACCACCAGCTGTAGTAACAGCTGTAGAGCCCAGTTCAGGTAAGCTTTGTACTTGGGGTTCCTCATGTTTGGGCATGTGAAATACTTTTGAGGCAGAACTTGATTCTGGTGTTCTTCAAGATGGTAACTAACATTGAGTTTTACTTCCGCAGTTCTTAGCTGTGAGGGGGACGTACGAAAATAGGAACACATCCTATTGTTGATTAAGTCATAGTTCAAAGTTTAGTTTGATTTGGAATTAGTGTCAGATTATTGCTGAAAGGCTTAACAGAAGGTTATTTGCATAGGATCTAGGCAGAAGGCAGTGGATGTTTACTACACTAGTAGTACTTCCTGCTGCCGTCCAGAGCAGAGAACTTGAGAGCAAAAGATTGTAGAAGAGCCACAGAGTGTAGCCAGAAGCTGTTGGGCTTCCAGAGGTGTAACTGAGGGCTTAACTCCTCTTACTGTTGACAATATGAGAGAAAGTGCCAAGCTAGCTTTGCAGGTCTGACCACAGCTGGGAGTGGGGAGAGCAGCTTTTTCACACAAACACATTTAATAGAGAAATAATTATGAAAGGTAGTTGTCAACATCCTGGGATTCCATGTTGTTTATACTGACTTGGTTTTCAGCATAGAACTGAACTTCAGATTTGTAGAAAATAAGGTAAAAGTTCAAAACTGTGTTTGGTCAGATGCCTTAAACCTTGTAGGATGGCAGAGACTGTTTGGGGCAGATGATATGGGAAAGGACAGATTATCTGGAGTCACCGTGATCCTGATGGGTTTTGCTTCTTTGATTTCATAGAGAGTGAAGATTTGTTCATGATGCCAAAAATTGTTAATGTGACATCATTGGCTGCTGAAGGAGGCATGAGTTTAAACCTCAGTAGAAACAAGAGTTCTCAAATAACCCCTGGTGCAAGTGCCCAAACTTCTGAGCAGCCCTTGAAAACAGGACTCCGTGAAAGCAGGCAGAATGAAGGCATTCTTTCTGAAGAGAAAGCCAAGGCATGTTCTGGCAGTAGCGTTGGAGATGGGAAAAGTGCCAAAGGACCCACACCAGTTTTTCTTGAAAATAAAGACAACAGCATGTCACAGCTACGGAATGCATCTTCTGCAAAGGACTCTCAAGAGCCATTTACCACAAAACTCTGCCTTGGAGAGTTCATTGGATGCCAAGGGAGAAGGAAGGATGCTGATCAGGGAGGAGAAAGGTTGAAGGCAAAGGATTCTCCATTCCGTAAACTGCAGATTAAAGAGTTCAAAGACTCCAGGATAGAAATGGAGTTGAGAAAAGTCGCCTCTGCAATAGAGGAAGCAGAACTGGACCCAAGTGAGATACTGGGTGGTATTGAGGAGAGTGATGACACTGATGAAACTCTCACTTCGCTTCTCAATGAAATTGCCTTTCTCAATCAACAGCTTAATGATGACAATTCGAGCATGTCAGAATTGCCTAGCACCCTGACCTCAGACTTTTCTCCAGGAGACTTAGAAACTCGACGAGGAGCAGCCAGTGATCTAGTCGCTGCAGATGGCACATCCTTCCAGTTTGGCCACTTGGGTGGAAGTTTCAGACCTTCGGACCTTTCTGAAGTTCGAGAGGGTAGTGGCTCCATCAGTCCTCTGCTGCTTCACTTGGAAGATGATGACATAACTGATGGAGAGAAGAACTCTGGAGAACCTTCAAGTGAAGCAGACATTTTGAAAATAGTAATAGGCTCTGGAATGAAGGATGCACTTCCTAACCTCTCAGTGGCTGGTGGTAGAAGTGGTAAAACCTTAAAACCTATGGCAGAGCCTCCCAGTGTGACTCCTCCAGTCCTGCAGATGAAGACTAATTCAGAAGCTGGTACTGACACTTTGTGGAGGCCCATGCCAAAGCTGGCACCACTTGGATTAAAAGCAGCAAATCTTCCATTAGACTCAGAGGGACAGGGAACTAAAGTGATGCCTTTATTGGCTCCAGTGGTTGCAAAACTGACACCAGTTGGGTTAAAAACTGCTTTACCTATGGGTGTTCCAGAAGGGCAAGATAACAAAGCAATGCCCATTTTGGCACCTGTGGTTGCAAAAGTGAACAGTACTGGGACCTTGCCTCCAAATACTGCAAGCAAATGACTGCTTGGATTTTTCAGAGACAGAAAGGGAAATCTGGAGCAGTTAGGCCTTTAACAGGAATTTGGTGTCTGAGTTTTACCACTTCCCGTGTCACCACAACTTGTTCTTGTTGTTCTGCAGAGGAAGTATGGCATCAGCATTCTGTTCTGAAAGAGGGCAGGTCCCAAACTAAAACATCAGTGCTATGAAACTTTAATTGCATTAACATATTTTACCTCAGTATTGTTTGGGGTATTAACCCTGCTCCCCCCCTTCCCCATGAAAAGAAGGAAGCTGATCTGTAACCATTGATGGACGTGTGGTATCCTTCCAATGGTGTCTAGGAAAGCAGAGATTTGATGGGCACAGACAGTTGAGATGTTTGTTTCTGAACAGACTCGGCTGCTTCTAGATGAAGGGAATCAGGGGTGCTAGTTTTTGTATCAGTCAAATTATCTATGCAGAAGTAGGGTTGTTCACCTGTTTAGTTTTTGAAGAGCCCACAGCCTGTGGTGAACCTGTGGAAAGGAGATGGAAATGACCTTGTTCACACAAGTTACCCTAAAGGAAGGAAGGAAGAGCTGGTGTAGGTTACCCAGAAGGCTGAAGTGAGAATTTTCCCGTTTGGTGAGAGAGTTAGTCCCCTGCCAACACTCTTCTCTAGAATATTTCCACAATAAATCTTAAAGCTTACATAAAGAAGAACATTTTCCCCAATTAAAAAATAAAATAAAACCACATGATATTCTTCCTTGGGTAATAATCCAGGATGAGAAAAAAACTCTTCAGACAGGAGAAAGGGGCATAGGTTCTCTTCAGACAGGAGAAATGCATTTGAGTACCCGAGTGCAAACATCTAAAAGGTATTGCTTAAGTAACTTGTGTTAATTTCTCTCATTTCTCTTTTTGTTTCCCTCCCTTCCCCTTAGTTCTCACAGATGTAGAGATTTCTGATACATTTACAAGAAATGTTACTTTTTAAAGAAAGTTACACTTTTTTTAGGCCTATTATAACCCAAAAATGAAGATAAGTGAGGTGTATATGTATGTGTGTTTATGTAAATATATCCTTCCAAACCTTCCATTTCTGTATGGATTCAGGAAAGGTACTCAGAGGTTTCTCACTGCATTTGCACAAGATGTGTATAGCAACCCCCCCCCCCCAAAAA